CAAAAGCCACTTTAAAGGTCCCATTATCAGTCCTGATTTAAAAAAAAAAAAAATAAAAGCTTCTTGCAAGGCATGACAAATTTAATGAAGATGAAATTACTTTGACACTTTATGAAAACTATCTTCTGTCCCAGGAACCGGTTGATTTCAAAGAGCTGTGTTAAGTGTAAGCTATTAATTACATTAAAGGTACAAATTCTATTTTGAAACCTGTTAAAAGTGTGAGCCCAGGAGAGTTCAAAGCTGAAGAAAATAGTTGGTCAGAATTCCCATTTTCACATTTTGAATTAAACTACTGTTTCTGTACCAATAATACTGCAGAGTTACGAAGAATTATAGCAGATTAATTTTGATGTAAGGATCATGAAAAACAGTTTCAAAATACATAGGGAGTTCTCAGAGAAGTATTCAGTACCTACATCCAAAGTAACTTCTTAGATAATTATTTTAACCAAATTTGCATGTGTTTAGGAAATAAAGTTCAAACAAACTTCCAAACTTTCTTTTATATATCTACAGTGGGTAAAAAAACGTTCTTCAACCAAATTCAGTAGAGTTTTCCTACAATAAGGTTTTGTTTAAAGGTAGTATACAAAGTCCTTCAATTTGACTGGGATCCTTTCTCTGTCAGCTTTAACACTTCCAAATTTCAATATTTGCCAGAAACTTCTGGAATTAAAATTTTGAAGTTCCCATTGAAGAAAAAAAAAAATTTAAAAAAAAAGCAAACCTGATAATTGTTCTCATAGCAGTGAAGTGCTAGCACACGTAGAACGGAAATTTATTGAACTGAAAAACTTTACTATATCAAGGTAAAAATGACCACAACAAAACAAAATTTTATAGCAGAGCATTGTTGGTGGTACCAGTCCTGTTCTGAAGTGCAAGTATCTATTAAGGTGACCCGGAATTAAATACGAGTGTAAAGTTACAAATCTAGGCACTTAGCCAAAGACAGGAAGGATTTAAATATGAAAAAGCACCACTATCACGATACTTGTCACATACACCAGTCATAGGAAAATTAGATGCCATGTCCATACTAATTTTTCAGGCTTATTTTGCTTGTTAGCCAATGGAAAGGTATGGGTAAGTTTGGAAATTATTTCATATATCCCTAAAAAAGATATCAGGGGAAAGTGATAGGCTTTCCCTCTGAAGGTCACAATGTGTCTTTCTGCACTGGCTTCTGAGATAGTTTAGAAACTACCAGGAATTCCACACCTGACTTCCAAGTACATTTGGTTAGATAGAATAATCTGAATTTAATATGTAATTAAAGGAAATGACATACTGTAAACAAAATTTTTTCAATATTAATTGCATGTTTCACCCCTGAGCTTAACTTGCTGAATTCACTTCCTTTTCCTTTCTTCCTCCCTCAATGGGCTACTACATGGTCTAAGAGGAAAAATTAGCTCAGTCCCTGTTTACAAGTTCAGCAAAATATAGAACTTCACAGCCTATAGCTATCCGAGAAATTGCTGGGTTTTATAAAGGCACTCTACAGTTTAAATTCAAGATCTTGCCTCTTCTTCTCCCAAAATAATAGATGATGCATGATATATTCATTATAGGCATAGGTTTATAGGTATAGATTAATTAAAAATTATACATTACATACTATGTAACATATGCTAGCAAGAGATGTGTATTGTGAGCTTAGCTTTAAAATAAAATGTCTTCTGGGGTCTGCTGAGAAATGAGAAGCCAGAGAGAAAATCCAATGTGAATGTGCTGAATCCAAGACTATTCTAAAAAAACTTCATCATAGTGTACCCTTGTTGGACAACTGTATTGATATAAAAATCTAAATTACATCAATATATCAAGCTCAAAATTTCTTATGAAGATCTGCATTCTCTTAGCTTCACTCTCGAACAAGAGTGTATGCAAATTGTCTGGAAAGAGTTATCTTTGCATATGTGTGAGGCAAATGGCACCTTTCTCTCTACTTGTCACCCCCTGAATTTTTTTATTTCCCTTATTTCTTGTGTGTCTTGTTCTGCTGTTATCAAAGTTGTAGGGAGAGCTAAAAGCATGGAAGAGCTAAAAACATGGATATGATCAGTAGTAATATTAATTTCTGCATTACCTAGTGTAGTGTTCTTAAGTATTTTAGGATGCAGAATTTCTGTCTGTTAGAATTTCTGTCTTTACTTTTGAAAAGTGTAGGAAATACAACAGAAGTTAAACAGAAGATCTATGCACAAGGAGACAGCTTTCGAGGCCAGTGTCACTGGTTTCAGGATGCAGGTGGATCTCACAGTGTCTGTATAAAAAAATTTAATTTTGCAAATACCACGAAAGTGTCCACTACACTCAAGTGTACCTCAAAGTGATTTTTCTAAACTTTTTATGTTAAAAAGGATTTGTAATTGTTAGTATAGGCGTGACTGGATAATTTTGCCTCTGGACGCTTACAATTTCTAATCCCTTTTCATAGTTTGCTATGGAGATGTTACGAAATAAAGACCAGGATATGACATTGAAGGTTCTGATTCATCAGCAAAGATGGCTCGCCTTGGGGTGGTTAGAATAATTTCTTCTGCTCTTGATCTTGCTCTTCTCTGAGCATTTCCCTTGCCTGACTGAGGGGACAGCTCTGCTACCTGTGAGGCAGTTCTTGAACTGTTAGTTGATAGATCAGTGAATTAAAATAAATTGATAACATTATTGGTTAGTTTACAGTTGTATTCTATGTAAAAGCCTGTGGCTGTAAAATTGAGCCATCCCTAAGCATCCAGCAGGTAAACGGTAGGTAGATAGCCAGAGTGGAAATCATGGCACCCGTCCAAAGTTAAACCATCTCTGCTTGTGAATCAAAACCTCAGTTATGCTGAGACGCCTCTCACCATATCTAGTCTATTAGTCCACTTGGACACCTTAACACCTCTGAAGTAGAATAAAGTCCAAATAATATCAGGCTATGGGTTGCAGATTTACTTTTTAAAAACTTAAATATAGATATTAATTCTCCTGGTAAACACTAGAGAAGAGCACTTTCGCAAATCAGTTGAAAAAAATAAAATCTCCACATCTTAATACATGAGGCCAATGCAAATAAATAAATGCCATATGATAATAAAAGCAAAAAATCTCTGATATACTACTCAATCTTTCTTAATACAATAGTGCACTCAATAGTACACTGAATGAAGAGATCATGCATATATCTTTGTAATTATGTCATTTCACCATGACACATGATTAATGTATTTGATGTGGCTGACTGTTCAGTGCCATAAATCTGTATAAGAAATCTTCAAAAAAACATTAACCAAAATATTTCCTTGGTCTAAATTATTAATAAGCAGAGGCAAAGTAATAGAAAATCAGCCTTTTTTTTTTTTTCTTTGGGTGTGGTTTTTGTGTGTGTGTGTGTGTGGGTTTTTTTTGTTTTTTTGTTTGTTTGTTTTTTGTTTTTTTTTATTTTTTATTTCAGATTAATTTCTTAGAAATAAAGGAATTATTTAGTGATACATTTATATTTCAAAGTTACTTATCTACTTCATTATAGCACTTTTGAAAATAACTGCTCATACTGCTGCTATCAAAAAAGCTGCTTCAAGCCTGCACTTTGCCTGTGCTTGTAACCTGCAAGACCGTGTGAGACTTTCTGATTACTGCTAAGATTTGGCTTGTGAGTCAGAACACTGCAACCAGAAGTAGTTCTGAAGAGACGTGTGTTTAACTTCCTACTGAAATATTTGCATATAGAAAGACAGTGGTAAACAGAGATAGGTCTCCCATCTTGTTACTGTTAAATTCAGTGTGTATTTTTCTATTGAAACTCCTAGGAATAAGACTAGGCCAACAGCCCAAAACATATTTGTAATGTACATTCAGTTGTATACATCTCTGGGAAACTTCAAACAGATAGGGCAATCATTCAGTCTGCCATTTACAATACAGTGGACAGTAACACAGACTTCCTAAGCAGTGTTTGGTACAGATTTAAAAAAAAAAAAAAATAGTTTGCTAAACAGACACATCAGAAGAAACTTTATGTCAGAGGCTGGAAAGTTCCTCTGAAATACTATGCCAGCATAAACAGGGTAGAGAGAAGTACAGTAAAATCACAGCTGAAAAAGCCTTTAAAGGAACACTTTGTGTTACTCTCAGATGGTCACGCTCCCTGGGTATGGACACAGTGGGGAGCAGGGGTCTCACCTCCATCAGAGGTCCCAGGGAGGTGGAGCACATTAAAATGCACAGCTTCCTTGTTTGCCAACTTACTTAATTACAGGAGCAGCTAGACGAGAACTAGTCAAGTATTCACATATGCATAAGTGTATGTGAAAGAAACTCTAGAAAAGGTGCAAGAGGAGAACCAAATGCACGGGAATACATATTTGAAAGTAGCTGTCTCTGGGTCACAACTTCGAATTGTTGTCCCTTTCATTCCAGACTTAGTTTATTTTGACCCAATTGTACATAGTTCTCTTCTTCCCAGCCTTTACATATTCTCTATGACAAGGATAGGACCTATCTGTATGGTTAAGCAAGGGCTTGGCAATTTCCATAGCCAGGACTTGTGTAAAGGACAGGGTTCAAGGGAAGATGTGACATGAGGAGTGGGACACAGGTGACAGTGAATGCTAGACAGTCATCAAGAAGCAGATGACCTGAGCCAGAGAAAAACTAACTGGGATGAAAGGAAGAGATTGTCTAAAAGGATGAATATAGGTAGAAACAAATCTACTTTGCTCAATCAAACCTCAGAAGAAGAGCCAGAACTTGAAGCACAGTATCAGATCAAATTATCCACTTGGTCCTTAGTCACTATGCAAATAGCATGTGCAGTAGGATACAGTTTACACCAGCCTTGCATAGGAAGGAGAGCTGTGCTCAAACCCTTGAATAATAAAAATTAATATTCACAATCTTTGTTTCTGTTAAAGCAGATGGTGTAATTCTGTATAAAATGAAGTTAACTTTAATCACTGAATGAGTATCTCTTTTTTCAAACTGCTTTTTTTTTTAAACTCTGTGCTCAGGAAGATCTGTTAACAAGCTCAGCACAGAACCACTGAGAATCATTCATGAGACATTGGAAGAATCTACTGACTGGCTTTATGGCTTTTTTTCTCTACTGTCTGACTTCATATGGAGTGATGAAGATGACAGTGATGAAGGTATTTGTAATATGACTTCTGTAATTGTTCTAACTGCTGTTTTACATGCATTATGTTGGCTTACTCATCTTTTAACCTCACAGACAAGAAGGTCAAACAAAATGAAAAGTGACCATTGTTGCTAATAAAGAATCTACTGTCTATTCCAATCAATAAATTGGTCTCTTTGTTATCTTTCATCTTGTGTTTAATGTACTGTTACAGAAAAGCTGTCAGAATTAAATATTACCATTAGTACATCTTGGAGTAAAGAGTACTAATTTATACAAGACTTCAAAGCCACAACCAAAATAAGCATCAGGATATTGCTTCAGAGAATGGCAATAACTATTTTCCTTTAATCAGCAAGAATCAAAGGAATCCTGATAAATGTACAAGATAAACCAAGAAATTTAGAATTTTTTTGTTTGATATACTGATGACAGGAAATATATTGAGATAAAAAAAAAAAGGCAAGAAAAGGGAGTATTTTGGCTGAAATACGGGGATTTTGGATGGCACTTTGCAATAAAAACAGCTTACCAGAAATTTTCGTTTAGCCATTATAGGAACATTCTTCATCTGACATTATCTGATAAATGAAAGTATATTGCTAACATTTAAAGTTTGGAAATAATCCTTTTGTTATTAAAAAAAAAAAAAAAAAAAAAGTAGTTTACTGTTAAGACCCCAGGATTATAATGTCGCATTGTATTGGTCATTTTGACACATAATGAGTGCAGGAGTAACATCCTTTCACAATAGTTTTTCTTTTATTCTATTTTACTATACTATAATTTAAGAGTAGCATAATGAAACTGACTTGTACTTGTTCATTCATAAACTTGAGATATTATCAAATTTCTACCTTTTAAATGTGTGCATGAGCTTTTTGTATTAGCATAATATATAAATGCTAATAGACAGACTGCTACATGTGAGGCTGTGAATTGGGCATCCTGTTCTGGGATACAATTTACAACTCGCAGAAAGCCAGTCTTTATACCATTGAGAAACAGAGAAGGTTAAATACGGAAAGCTTCCTAAAATTTGAACAGTGTTCATTTTTATCATTTCAGAGCTCCCAAAGCACCTGCAAGCTTTCAAATACTCAAGTGGATAAATACTAATGCAAGTAGGAAAGGTCATACTCTACTTGACATACAAAAATTCAAGATCTGAATGCTCACTCTTTGGAAACCTCAGTCCTACCAGCCTTTGGCCCAAGTGGAATTTTATCAGTATCTACCATGAGTGTGAAAAGGCAGCACGCAACTTGCTGCACTATATTGTTTAAAGTTAGGGCTTGTGAAAGCGCTGCCCACCTTGCTCTTCAGTCAGTGCAGCTGAGGCTGTACACTCACCATAGTCATTCAGGCTAGCTCCTTTAAATTCCACGTCCTGCATGGAGGTGGAATAACAATCTTCAGCAACCGAGTCCTCATAGTTCCACTGAAATTGAGTATTTTTTCCTTGGATTTCACTGACAGGATTGCTAGATTTACAACCTTTCTAACCTGCATATACATTTTATCAGCTGGAGTTAAAACAGATCCACTGGTCCCTTCCTTAAAATGTGGAAGCATGCATAAAATCAAGCAAATTGTAAATTGTAGTCACAAGTTAACATTCAGAAGCACAAAAACAGATTTGGACGTTTCCTTGGTTACTACTGCATATTGAATTTATGTACCCTACATGCAGGAATACCTCTGTGGTAAGACAGATACGTTATGAAAAATCCAAAATCTCAGAATAGAGTGCTTGCTATTTATCATATTAAATAGGATTCTTTTTGTTTTCATTAAAATGAGCTGATGTGAGAAAAAAAAGATTGGGTTTTGGTGGGTTTTTTTTGTTTTTTTATGATGATGATATTGTTTATTTGACATTTGCTCTTTTCTCTTGGTTTAGGTGAAGTGGAATCCTCTCTGAAAAAAGGTAGGTCCATTGCCTTACTTGAAAGGAAAAATATTTTGCAATCATTTTAAGACTTAACTAGTATATCTGAAATTCTTTCATTATCTATCTATCATATCTAGATCCTGTCATTACTTACACTTCGGTCTACTAACCTTGTAAGTTGTGCTTTAACAAACTCATTTAAATAAGAAAGTCAAGTAACAGTACTTGCTGTACTCTTTGAAAGAATATGAGAATTCTTGACTCTTTCATTTTTACCAAGAAAATCTGAAAAATGTTCATTAAAAACAAATAGAATTACAGAAATATTTTCTGTACCCTTGCCCTGCATGTGGGACTCCTATTAATGTCAATATGAGTTATAGATATGTCTTGATAGAAATAATATTTAGAAATAATCATATAGAAAGAATATTTAGCAAGAAATAATGGGAAGGTGGTATAAAAGCATTTCACCTCGTGTCAATGCAGAACCCTAAAATAATTACTACTTCTGAATCTGAAAAAAATTACGTATCACTGAATTTTCAAAGCAGGCAAGTAGGATTTGTAATATAAATCTTTTCAGACATTAAAATTGTTATGCTGAAACATAAAACTTATGTTCAACTTCTATTAAATCAAAACGGAAATGTATTAGAAGGCTTGAGATATTGGTGATAAGATGTAAAGCTTTTCAAAACTAGGGTGTGTTTTTTTTCTCCAAATTGAGCACAGTTTAATAACAACAATATGTTCAACCAGCCATATGTGATCTGAATTTGATATCCATCAAATTCTCAAAAGGTAAATGTCCATACTGAAGAATCTATCACGCCAGTTGCTGCTGAGATTACAGTTCAATTTTCTCTGAAGTTAACTGGAACTGGATCAGGCTTCTATTTAATGACACTTTTTGTCAGTCACTATAGGGCATCAGGGTATTAATAGGCTCAAGGACCAGGAGTATTCATCTTTCTACGGATGATCCTTCATCTTAGGACTGAGGAAAACTTAGAGACAGTGTAAGAAAATATTCCATCTCTTTACTCCATCAGTAAGAATCACAAAAAGTTCAGCATTGCCCTGCCTTTTCTCCCAAAATGAAAAATAGGTTGTTAATTTTACTGTGGGTGCCGAGTCTGAAGCTGAAGCATGCTGTTGGCAGGAATTCATGGGTAGGTGGCTGGAAGGTGTCTACTCACCACAGGCCAGTGCAGTGGACTAGACTGGGAGTATTATGGAGATACTTCAGTGCTCGGGAGGCTTAATCCTTTAAAACATTACAGACAATGCCATGCTCAGCATTGCAGTGCCTGCTTCTTTGGAAATCAGTGACATACTCATGCCTTGCATTTTGCATTGGGACAATGCAATGAAATTGAGCTGTAGAAATAGAATTCAAAGATGCCATTAAAATAAGGTGGAGGATTCTTAAATTAGACGTTGGAAGTGTCATCGCTTCCAGTTACTACCAATGATTGTTCAGACCTAAAAGTTCCCCATCCAAGGAAATGAGCAACTGTCAGCTCAAAATGCTTTCCTCAGTATTCAAAGCTCACAGCCGTGCTCTGAAGATACATATCCAAGAAAGTCTTCTGTCTTTAATGTGAAGGAAATGGACAAGGAGCTGGTGATTCCTCTGAATCTGACATCTTATAGGTTAACTCAGATGCACAGATGTGAAAAGGTCCAAATTCAAATATGCTTCATCTGCCTGGGCAGTAAAATAGATTTTGAGTGTGCTATCCCACTTCCTGGATGTGTGCTCAAAATCTTTCACTCTTTCAGAGAATAAGGAGTTCCAACCTCCCTGCAAAGAGCTGTTTCTTGACTAGGACTGATGAAAAAGGTGGTCTAAGGCCCTTTCTGGGTATAACCATAAACTTTGACATATCAACATCCTCTAATAACTTGTTACCATCTCCAGATGATTGGATGTCTCAATTTCACCCTGGCGGCTAGGGTCTGGCCTTGATTATACTTGATTTTATTATCTCCTTCTGGGCTACAGAAGTAGAATATATATGGCCTGAAGCCAGCAGTCCCTTAAAAACATCAGTGCAGATTATTGTGCATGTGTGCTCAGTGACAGACAGCTGTGAGCTCCTCAGAGTTGTTACTTTCTCTCTTTTGCAGACTTCTCTTAAAACTGTGTAAACATCAAGGAGCTGAACTGCTGATGTCTAAGCTTATATAGAAGTTTACTGAGAGCTCCATGACACAGTTTAGTCAACAGCTTTTCAATTTAGGCACAGTGAAATTCACACCCAGGGTTAAAGCTCATGAGTACAGAAGGTAAAGCCTTCTGAAGTTTTCTAAAACAAAACAAGACATTTAATCTGTGATTTTTTTGCAAGTGATGGCTGCTAGGGCTGGACCCAGACGAAGTTCAACTATAGAAATTAATTTGGAGGTTTTGGGTTTATCAAAATGTTAGTATTTAGATCCACAAATTCAGAGACAAATTTCAAGGTTATGGAGTATTTTCTATTTTCATATAAAAGGTAATTTCTGTATCAAAGTCCCTTCCACTGTGCAGCATTGCTAGCTTTGTGAATGATCTTTCTTTAGTTGCCTCTTATGTTTGTGGCATTTGAACATCTTAAACAACAACAACAAAAGACCCAATGAGAGTGTGAGATTGTACATTACACCACTACTCTCTCCAGAAGATGAAGAGGTTTGGTTTTTGTACATATTTGCAGACAACCTTTTGCAAATTTCACTTTGGAAATGTGCATTACAGTTGCTATGCCTGACTTTTAAGTATAACCTGCAGTTATTTTGTTATTCGTGAACATGCTGAGAGATTTTGAAAAATCTCCATAGCTATTTTTGGTGTAAAGATAAGTCTTCACTTTTTTTTTTTCCCTTTGTTGACTAGCAGGTTTTATGAATGCCAAAATGTTAGCACAAAATTTACTTTATAATAGAATACAGTAACTGAAAAAATAGTAAGATTGCTGGTACTAAACACAAAAAAAATTACATATTAGAAAAAAATGAAGGGGAGTGGTAAGGACACTGTAGTGATGAAGTAAGAAGAGAAAAGTGCAATGATAACTACAAACTCAATGAAAGCGAAGATCACCTTCTTAGAAATGTAAATTCAAAGCAAAGCTATTAAAAGTACAAATAATGACAATGGGCATGAACATGCAACAAGACATATCAGTTTCATAATCCTTTAGAAAGTATGAAAATGCCTCTCAAGTGCCTTTTTTATTGCAATTATTTTTGCCAGTCCAAGTCTTATCACTAATATTTATCTTTAATAATTGGAAAAGAGTGGACATTTTATATTGGCTGGGAAAAAAAGTATTCTTCAGTGGAGTTAGTGAAAGATTATTCCATAGAGGACATTGCAGTTCTTAACAATACATATTTTCAACATACTAAAACTGCAGAGCATTTTTCATAAAAGATATTGAGAAGCCTAATAACTGTTTCTTGCAGGTTTAATATGTTTCAGGATTCATTTCATTCTAGAACAATGGTTATGACTGATAATCTTATTCATTCTTTCAGGGTCAGTTTAACCTTTAGAGACAAATTCAATTATTTGGCAGCTGCATGTTTTCTCATGTTTTGATGCTTTTTACTAGAAATTATTGTTATAGAAAATGAGAAATATTTATTATATTTTGGTGGACATTCCTGGCATCAGTTGGTAATTTGGAAAAGACATTGGATATCTAGTGCACAAAATTTGAAATTATGAAGTATAAAACTCTGCAAGAGCAGACACTTCAGTATTGTCATCCATGGCTAAATTTGGAATTTTTAGGCTGTTACGGAACTTCAGTCCAGATTATACATGGGTGACCTAAAATTTAAAATCTGAACATGAATTCCTCCTACAGCGAGGCACCTGATAAGCTGTACATACATAGCAGTGGTTTTTGCATATTAAATTAACATTTTCTTCATAGTAGTTGATGAATTCTCACTAAGAAACATGAATATGGTATATGGTCTCGGGAGTATGTTGTTGGAAATGTTTGGAAAAAATTTCAGGGTCAGAATTCTTTTGATCTTTACTTTATATGTTGAAAGTTAAGAAATTGTCTTTGTATGATATCCTGCCTCGATTTTATATTTGGACTTAGAATAAATCCTATCTCTCTCTTTCTCTTTCTCGCACTCTTTCTCACTCTCTCTCCCTTCTCTCTCTCACACAGACACACCAGTCACTATGTAGTAATTTTCATTAGGGTTAGGTTTCAGTAGAGACACTGGAGTTAGAAAGCAGACTAAGAAATAAAGCACTGTCATGGCATTATTAACCATCACTGTATTACCAAATAGGTTTTTATTGGCATAAGATTATTATATACCAACTTTATCTTGTGGAGTCTCTAATTTTCTGTGGCTTAGCCTATGTGTGAGATAGAAAGGTCTATACAGTAGTTACATGAAGTGATCCTGTAATTATTACTAGTCTATAAAACTTTTGTTAGGAAAAAAAAGTTAAAAAATCATAATTTAAACAAGGAGCCACAAACAACAGAAATTTCTGTTAAAAGTTGCAAAAAATTTTGTTAATTACAATTAAATATTTTGGCAAAGCACCTTATCCCTCTGTCTTCAGTCCAAATGAGAATATTATTGTCTGAGTATTAGGCCGGTTATTAATAAGCTGAAGACATATATGTCATGCTTCTCTTCAAATAGACAACAACTTCTAAGGGTACAGTTGGTTACACCAGCTTACCCTCAGCAGCTCTGGCCAAGGTTCTATTCCTCCAGACAGTCATTCCCATTAATCTCCTCTTCATCCCAAGGACACTGAGAATTTATTCAGCACAAACTATTTGTTTGTTCAGATCTTGGTATAAATCTGAATAAAACAAACCAAAACAAAACAACAAAATGCTCCCAAAAGGTCCTCAGATCAGATAATTTCCTACATCTCGTTTTAAGAATGACCAAACTAAAATCTACAACCGCTTTGCCTGCTAAAGGTGAGAGGTATAAGCACCTGCTTAGAGAATATTGATAAGGGATTTGTTATTTTGAATTTGAAATTGCTTTTG